GAGGTCTGAAGGCGAGGATAAATCGAAGAGACGAAGACATTCTCCGCACGACCCACCATCTCTCCCGCCTGGTCGTCGCAACCTGTTCCGTTGATGATCGAATGCACGACCCCCGTGCCTCCGAAGGCGTCGGCGACTTCGCCAAACGACAGCATTCCTCACAAATTTTCCCGTGGTGACGAAGACGCCGGAGTCGGCGGCGAGGGAGAGTGTGGTTGGAGAGGCGGCTGCGCGGGTGGCCATTTTGCGCCGTCGGTGGGGTGGCATCATGGCGGCGGCGGCGGTGGTCAGTAACTTATGCACCTGCCTCCCCGGACCTCTCCTGATGCCGCCGCCGCCGACTCCCTCCTCGCCTCCCTCGCGCCCGCACCGCCAGGCTCGCGCCCACTCGCCCTGCCCTCGGCTTCCGTGGCCACTCGCCGGCGCTAGCACAGGCGGCGGCATTGCGGCGACCGCAGGAGACACGCAAGGCCGCGCGACGGGCGTGCGAGGGGAGCAGGCGCTTGGCGGGTCATGCACGCCCTCGCACGCCCCACAGGGACCCACTCACCTCGCTCACCTTGCCGCGCCTCGGCCATATGGCGCTGCGGCCGCGGACCCTTCGCGCGAAGACCCGAGGGACGCCGGTGCGGGGACGCAGCGCGAGAGCATCGCCGGAGTCGACGTCCAACATGACCTTCTCTGCCTTGGTCGCTTTAGGTAATATCCGGAGACGGAGGAGGCCGTTCTGTTCGCTTGCCCGGGAGGGACAATCGCGCATTCCTGGCCCGTGTAAAAATTCCCGTAACAAAACATTTTTGGCTCGGTTTCGCGACAGCCGCCGGAGCACAGAGGGAAGCGATGACTACTCCAGTGCATTCTTGTTCTTCGTTTCCCCTGAAATTCACAAACGGTGTTAATTACATCCCGTCTCCTCAGCCCTCCCGAGTGTTGCCGAATTCCTGGCTGGGAGATTTTAACATCTTTATCGCATTCGTAGGTTAAGGTCACCCAATTAAACTAAATGCCATGTTGTGTCTCCGGTTTGAGTAGCGGACGCCCTTTTACGCCCGGCCGAGGTCACCCTCTCCTGGCCAGCGCCCGGCCATCGTCCTTGCTTTGACGCGCCGCCGATGCCTCGCACATTTATCAGCAGACCGAACGGTAATCAGAGGCACACGCACACGTACACCTACACGTGCACACAAACACACACACACACACACACACACACACACACACACACACACACACACACACACACACACACACACACACACACACACACACTCTCTCTCTCTCTCTCTCTCTCTCTCTCTCTCTCTCTCTCCTCTCTCTCTCTCTCTCTCTCTCTCTCTCTCTTCTCTCTCTCTCTCTCTCTCTCTCTCTCTCTCTCTCTCTCTCTCTCTCTCTCTCTCTCTCTCTCTCTCTCTCTCTCACTTACTCACTCACTCAGAGACAGACCAGACAGACACAGAGAAAAAACGAGCGAGCGAACAAGAGACAGACAGACAAACACACATATAGGAAAGCAGAGAGACAGACAGATAGACAGAGAGAGGGAGAAAAAGCAGACAGAGAAAAGGCGTGCGTGCGAACAAGAGAGAGAGAGAGAGAGAGAGAGAGAGAGAGAGAGAGAGAGAGAGAGAGAGAGAGAGAGAGAGAGAGAGAGAGAGAGAGAGAGAGAGAGAGAGAGAGAGAGAGAAAGAGAGACGGACAGACAGACAGACAAACAAACAGACAATGAGACCGAGACAGAGACAGAAAGAGAGAGAGAAAGTAGAAGGATAAGGAGAGAGAAAAGGAGGAAGAGAAAAAGAAATATATATTTTAAGAGAAAGAGAGAGCCCCACCAGAGCGCAGGGGAGCGGGTCTTCCAGCCACCCAGTGCCCCGCGTTCCTCCCCCCCAGAAGCCCTCGACGGCGAGATCCCCAGTTACGTTACGATCTCCATTTACGTTACGTTCGGCCACAACCTCGTTTATCGCCGCGCAGGAGCACCGATCGCGATGCTTGGGGGGGAGGGGGAGATGTCTTTGTGTTTGTGCTTTGGGAATGCGCGGGAGGGGGGGGGAGGTGTGAAGGAATCTGTGATTGGGGGGGGGGGGGGTTGCACTTCCGCTGGAATGGTTGAGATGCTGGACGTGCAAGCAATCTCTATTTCTTACTTGCTTTCTGATAGCTTCTCTCTCTCTCTCTCTCTCTCTCTCTCTCTCTCTCTCTCTCTCTCTCTCTCTCTCTCTCTCTCTCTCCCTCTCTCTCTCTCTCTCTCTCTCTCTCTCTCTCTCTCTCTCTCTCTCTCTATATATATATATATATATATATATATATATATATATATATATATATATATATATATATATATATATATATATGTTTCTCTTCATCTCCCTCTCTTTCTTTATCTCCCTCTCTATCACCATATCCCGCTCTCTCTTCGTCTCTCTCTATCTCTCTCCCTCCCTCCCTCCCTCCCTCCCTCCTTCCTTCCTTCCTTCCCTCCCTTCCTTTTTCTCCCTTCCTTCTTCTCTCCCCCTCCCCCTCTCCCTCTCCCTCTCCCTTTCCCTCTCCCTCTCCCTCTCCCTCTTTTTCTTATTGACACGCGCACAGTCACACACACATACACACAAACGCACACATACATACGCACGCACACGCTCACTCGCACACAGACATCTATCTCCAAACAAAGTCCCACCTGGTAACTGTCCGCTTCGGGAACTCCACCTGAAGCTCCATCTCTTTGCTCTTGAGTTCCCCTCGCGCGCGCCCTCGCCTCGTAGGCGGGGGGAAGAGAGAGATAGATGTGCAGAAAGGGAGGGAGGGGGAGGTGGAGGGAGAGGGGGAGGTGGAGGGAGAGGTGGAGGTGGAGGGGGAGGTGGGAGGAGAGAGGGAGGTGGAGGTGGAGGGAGAGAGGGAGGTGGAGGTGGAGGGAGAGAGGGAGGTGGAGGTGGAGGT